ACATCCATTAGACATGGCACGAGGAACTAGAACAGTCTACCCCAGTGAGTGAAATAAAGGGTTGAGTTTAACATTGCAACCACCTGAAGAAGGCCGAGCGCACAAATAGCTTTGTAATTGAGGGCAATAGTTCAATAATGTATATATATATATATATATATATATATATATATATATATAAGCAAGTATAAATGGATATAAATCCGACAGAATGAAGAAATTTTGAAAAAACAAACAAAAATCCTTAAATGTAGTTAAATGAAAGAAATGTCGACGTCTGACGTTTCGGTTTATTAAACCTTTTCAAGACAATATTCATCAAAATACAATTCAGTTCAATATGACAAATACGATGGACATCCACAAGTCTTATTCCTAACAGATAACTGAAAATTTTTAAAATGATCAGCCTTCCCAACATGGTCACGCTTGTTATTACATACACGTCCGTATTCCTGAAAGTTTGTGATTATTTTGAAATGAAAAAAAAAAGAAAATGAAAAGAATTCTATTAGGTTCTAAAATTTTATGTGTGTGCTTGTCGAGCATCAATCTCTATTAAAGAAACCAGGTCTAGTATTCACCGTATATGAGATGGATATTATACCTGCTTCATAAATCCTCCTGATTTTTATTATATAAATATTTATATTTCATATCGAAATAAATATGATCTGCTTTATTGTGTGTACAACTAAAGCATTGTTAAATTATAGAAGAATATCTCGTTTATGTTCGAAAACACGAGATTTTAAGGACCTACCTGTTTCACCCACATATTTTAGGTCACAATTTTTGCATGATATTTGATAGATGCAAGCATCGGATGTAATATGTTGTCTGCTGGTGCTATTTAATAAACTACGGATAGTCCTAGTAGGTAATATAGTAGTTCTAATTTTTAATGCATTTAGATTATGAGAGATATTTCGGTCAAATGGTTATTTGGTAAAAAAAGATGCGTAAAACGAAATATTATCAGAGGTAGCTGAAATTGTAACTTTCATTGATCTATTTGTAGTGGCCTTTGAGGTGTCATTTTGGCGCTGATGAGTGAATTTTCAACGCTTTTTTAGCTCTCTGTAATAATTGTCTCGGATACGAAAGATTTGAAAAAGGTATCCTCAATATATGTAAATTCATCATTTAAATATTTTGATGAACAGATGTGAGCCCTCAAATAGAATCCAATAACAATACCCCTCTTAGTGTTAGTATCATGGTGAGAGTAAAAATGTAAATAGTCATTTTTACATGTAGGTTTATATATATTTGAATTCTAATTTATTTTTATTTTTAATATAATATAAAAAGGTATTATTAGATTCAAGTTCATAGGTAAATATATATTCTATTCTATTTAATCTATCAGTAATCCTGTTTAAATCATGCTTATGTGGGTAGATAAATAAAATGTCATCGATGTATCGAAAAGTAATGTATATCAGATGGAATGACATCTTTAAAAGGTCCAGATTCAAGAAATTCTAGAAATATGCATGCTAGAATCCAGAGAAACTCCATTTTAAACCAAATATCGATAAGGTATATAGGTATATGTCTCAAGTTTTTTGATTTTATAAGGAAAAAAAACACATGCCTGATGATGGATGAAAGACTGATAAGCATTTTAACATCAAATAAACTGAAAAACTACAGACAACAAGTTTTTCTTCAAGATCAAAACTGGATGAACAGTTTTAAATGCATATATTATGTTTTCTAGCGATGGATGTCGCCAATAATATATATACTTCTGATTAATTCTATGTGTGATTATTCTTTATATATATATATATATATATATATATATATATATATATATATAATTATATAAAAAAGTTTGTCAAGCTAATTGATGTTACCTCCAGCATCCCATCTCCTGAGTTTTTTGTAGACGTTTCTCCCTTCTCCCAGCAATTAATGTCCACTTGTCAGGGGCTTGTTCTCTCTCTCTCTCTCTCTCTCTCTATATATATATATATATATATATATATATATCAATTGCTTATATACAAAATAATAAAAATATTCAGGATGCTGAAGGTATAATCAGCTAAGTGATAAACTTTATATTTGTATAAATTCTCTCTATGTACATGTGTGTGTGTGTGTATATATATATATATATATATATATATTAGTGTGTTTCAACTGATTACAATACCAGCAATCAAAAAACTCCAGGATTTGTTTACCACACTGATAAAACCCACTTCTTGATAATGACTGATAGTGGAAAGTACTTGAACAAACAAAACAGTAAAACATGGACCTTGAACAATTTATTCCTGATTTCAGTCGCAATATACAACATCACATTTGGAAATTGGAAAAATATAATAAAAAAATTATGATTTCAGTTGAATTAAACAAAACTTTATATATATATATATATATATATATATATTCATTTAAAAATATGATTCCAACACACTACATAAGAGTTCTCATGTTTCAAAACAAGAGCTGAAAACTTCAATATAATTATTTGAATTAAATTGAATTAAAGTAAATCTTCAAGTGAAATTTTTTTTTTAATAACTTATTTCTGAAATTTACGTGTTTTATAACATATTCATTATTAAAATCAAAATTTCTCTGGTAACGGCTAGAACAATTGTTTAAAAAAAAGGGCGTATATATATATCACAGCTGTTTAAAACCCTTGTTTTTTGTCATATAGAAAAATCCAACATGGCATCTATAAACGATATGCGACAAAAAATCTCATTAATCA